AAAAAAAAAAAAAGACGCACAATAAAGGCCCAACATGCTGACACTGACTGGACATGGGTACATTGTATGATAGAATTGCCATTAGAATTTCAGGAAAGAAGACTTTCAACAGCTGTCTGGAACGTCTGGCCTGGAGGTGGGGAGCAATAACAAAAATTATTACTGTATATGCAGTGAGACCCCCACATGTGGACACACCTCTAAATCTGGACAAGTCAACATATAGGGACATGTATCTTCCCTTTAAAAAAAAGACGCACAATAAAGGCCCAACATGCAAACACTGACTGGACATGGGGACATTGTATTAAATTTCAGGAAGAAAGACTTTTATCAGGCTGTACTGCAAGAAAAACATACAGTATTCCTGACCCTAAAATATATGCAAGAAAAATCTTCTTCATTATTTCTCCCATAAGTTTCCCATCCATTTTAAGCTATAATTTAAAAAATTACCTTTAGAATAGAGGGACTTCCTTCTCCCTTTGTGACTTTAATGTTATTCTTACAGACAACAGCATTTCAACGTACTGTACAGAGGTATGGAGTATTCCATGCTCCAAATGCTCTTATTCAGTTGAAAGATATTCACCAAATCCATTGCAATTGGCAGACAGTTTTTTCATGGAATACTGATGAATGCTTCTTTCATGAAACGCCAATTAAAAATTATACAATCTAAGTCTATAGGAAAATGAGACTTGACTTAAGTACATTTTGACTTAGCAACACACTTGATGTAACAATTACGTCCACATTATGGGGTCTCAATGTATATAATACATTAACTGTACAGATGAAACTTTAATGCAGGAAGGATCAATGCAAATTTTCAAGAGGCCACATATGCAAACAGAACCAGAACAAAGAGACAATGTTAGGCCATTTTATTTGTTCAAGAACTCTTTCTTCAAATTAAAAGAAAGAAGGAGCATGAGCTTCATTTGCTCAAGGTGTAGTGGAAAGAATGCTCTGAAAGGGAAAAACTCCAGCACAGGATTTTCCTCTGCTCTCAATTTTTCTATTGTCATTTTTTCAACTATTCCACAACAAAATTGGGATTTTGTCGCAAAATGGTGTGCCCAAGAGCACTGAAATTGATGTCGGCAAAAACATGAAATTGGTACCAATGCCCGAGTTGGAAAAAATTTCAATATTCCCTCTTGGCAGAAAATACTGTTGAGTAACACTGATATGGTTCAGCTTGTTCAAGGGAAAGTTTGTTTATAAAATTTTATTTTCTCACAGACTTCAATGAGAAAATCTAATTTAGTCCATGAATCCAAAACACAATTGAACATTGATTATAAAAAAATTCAAGACATGAACTACAATCAGAATATGTTGCTGATCCATCTTACATGAACTCAGCACGTTTTTACGGTGTTACAGTAAATGGAAGTAGCACGGATGAAAACAACAAAAAGCCCCACCACCAGAGGAACACATACTGATAGGATACAAGCCATGTGAAAATGGAATTTATTTTCCTAATGCTGCAAGCAAAGATCAAATAGACCTTTTTAGCAATTCAAAAACTAGAAAAACCAAACTCAGAGAAGCAAATTAGTCAGTCACAGAAGAGCAAACTACAGTATATATATGCATAATATAGCAAAACAAATATAAAACACAAGCTTTTACATATTAGATTGCAAGAAGGGAATAATTTTCATATCAGTGCATAAGTGATTTATTTGCTCTTAGGTTTTACCACAAATTTCAGTGTGAAAATCAAATTTTGAATGTTTAAATTGGGATTTTCCCCCAAAAAAACGTTTGTCAATCAAATTTTGGTTCATCACCTGAGGGATTTTTCCTCAAACCAAAACCAAAAAATGTCAAGTGATTAGTTTTTCAATTGAAAAGTTTGTTAACGGAGGGTTCACTGTATTTACTCAAGTACCACACACCCTCAAGTATGACGCATGCCTCAGTATTTTGGCATGCAATTTGCCCAAAAATGTATCCGCAAAAAACAGACACTTAAATTTTATACATGGTTGAAAATTGAATTTGCATTTAAAATTACAATGTTAACAAAATAATTCCATAATTCCATGAGAAGATCCATCATTTTAACAGAATTTGAGCCAAACAAAATTCGCTTTTTTATTTCTGCATTTACTAAGTAATCACTTCTGGTTCTGGGTCCCACCACTAATCTCCTAATTTTTTTACTGGAGAAAACCTACACCTAAGTCCATCTTTAAATTACATCTTTAAAACAAATGCTTGAGAGAAATGAGCTTGAAAAAAATCCAGCCAATTTTTTACAGAACCAAAGTTTATCAAATAAATTTGTCCATAGTTCCAGGAAGGATTTTCAATTTCATTCCCTCTCTCTAACAGTAATTACAAGAACGTCTTCTTGAAAAAAAAAAAAAAAAAAAAAAAAAAAAAAAGAAAAAGAAAAAAAATCAAAACAAAAAAAAAAAAAAAAAAAAGAAAAAAAAAAAAAAAAAAAAAAAAAAAAAAAAAAAAAAGAGGAGAAGGAAGAAGAATATTGTCAGTAACTTCAATGGACTATGGTTTCTGGTGCATGTCAAAGCACCCAGCACAAGCTTAATCATTCAAATATCAAGGCAACCCTACACTTTGAGGGACCTACTCCACAGTAAGCCTCCTTAAGGATCTCTCCCTGACTGTCTTCCACACTTTCTGTCCCTTTCTCCCTTACTTCACGTGTGATGTGAGTGATGTGACTGACTGACTCTGTTTCTGTCTGTCTGTCTCTCACCTGCAACTCCCATTCTGTCCTAAGCGAGCAGAGCTGGTCCTGGAGCTGCGCAATCCGCTTGGGCCCCGACTCGGCGTCCCAGGCTCCGAGTGGGGGGTCGGCTAATGAGCTCGCTCCCATCACGATTCCCACCGATCATCACCGCCACCACTGCATTGATCCCCCCACACAAGCAGGGATATTGCCTTCTTCTTTCTTTCTTTCTTTTCTTTTCTTCTTTTTTTTTTCAAACTTGTCAGTTGTTTTTGTTTGTTTGCTTCCCCCTCTCTGTCTTGTGTCTTCTTTTTCTTCTTCAAGCACAGCACTTGTTGATGACGGGTTCAAAGGTCCCAGAGGACACACACACACACACACAGACACAGACAGACACAACACACCTTCACACACAGTCACTCATTCGCCGGATGACGAGTCCGAGTCACTTGAATTTATTGTCCTTCCTCTGTCTTCCCTCCGGTGAGAAGAAGGACCACCAGAGTACTGTATAAACCTGAAGAAATAAAAACACAAGATGGAAAAATGCACCATTAGGCAAACTGAGACATGGTCAAAGAGTGATTGTAAACAAAACATCACAGCATACATTGTACAGGTGAGGTTAACAGGGGACAGATTTAGAAAAAAAAGTTATAATAATAATCAGGCAATGTGGTTTTGAATACCGCTGTGCTACTTCACTGCAGTGTCTGACATCACTTATTTCTTACTCTGAGGGCAACAATAAAACTAACTGAGATGCTAAACTGATGAAAAATTGACCCAACTCAATTTATCACAGCATTCCCACAAAATCCAGTGTATCCTGACTTCGAAAAAAAAATTGCACCAAACTATTCTCAACCTCATACAGCTGTAACTGAAATATCTTACTACTGTATATCTTGACAACTGAGTTCAATAAATGACCTGACTTGACATAATTCAATCCTGTCTGTATTCCCTTTAAAAAAAATTGGGGTTGATCTTGGAGAATTTGTTACCCTTGGACACCTGTAGGTTAAATTCCATAGCCCAGGAGTACTACAAAATTTTGTCACACAGATACTTGTACATTTTGGTTAGACCAAAGGTCACCAAAACACAACTTTGGCTAAGTAGCCAAAATCCAGAAACCATGCAGGAAAGCAAAAACCAATGTTTTTCAAATCCCTCAATACTAATCCTGAAGTAGGAATGGGGATAAAGTTCCACCAAGCGGTAAAGAATTTTTTCATGAACCAATTTTCAGCAGAAAAAAAAAATGTGGGAATTTTTCTAGATTTTGGCTATTCTGATCATCCCAGGTATTTCATTTTTTCACCTGTGGCACAACATTGTGCTAATGAATCCCAGCAGTGCCACCCAATGATTAAGAAATATAATTCCCTGATTTGTTAGTGAAAGTGAAATTTCGAATAGTCTCAACATAACATTGGTCAGTATTTTTGGACATTGGTAGCATCTGACATTCACATCAAGTAAATAAGGCAAAACTAGTGCAAAATATTAAAGAAATTTCATTAAACTAGAGAAAATAGGGTGAAAAGAGAATTTTGGCACAAAAAGACAGTATGTGTCACTGCTTCTCTGGTCAAAAAAAATACCCCATTATTTCTAGATTTCTTCCACAATAGACATTCACTGGCAAAATTGTGGAAAAACAAAAAACAAGAAGTCCAAGCTGAGGCAATTCATACAAAAAATTGAACTGGTTTTATAACAAAGAAATGCCTTCAACATTCTTCAAATATAAAATGCTTTGAGCTTTTGCATTAAAGGCTCAACCATGCATGCTCTCTAAATCTCAGAATATTCAGCAACAAAAAATGAAATTTATCTCAGGAATTAGAAACACGTACCCGAGTTGGAATGCCACAAGCATCTTAATCAAGGTGGCTCAAGAAGCTCAGTCATAGTACTGTTATAATGAGTTTTTAATGAACAAGCGCTGTGGTGGCCATGCCAACATTTGCAAGAATAGGCATTCAAAAAATTCTTTCCAACTTTCACCTTATGAATTCCCAGCACAGGTTGATGAAAAGCAACAAGACATTATTCATTTATGATTTTCTGTGATAGAATTATTTGCTTTTCTATGCTTGGTTTTTCTAGTCATGTTCAATTGTTTGAAAGGTCTAGTTGATCTTTACTTGCAGCAATTAAAAAAAAAAAAATTCACCTGACATGTATCCTACACTGTGTGTTTTTCTGAATGTGATATTTCTGATTGTGTGTTTTTCTTTGTTTCCATCAGTGCTACTTGCATATAACACTGTGAAAAACTTTGGACACATATCAGATGCAGGAACAACTTTTTCTGATTATTGCTGATGGTCTTGAAATTTTTTGTATTCACTGTTGAAAAGGTTTTTGAGTTCACAAAAGGGATTACATTATTCTCCATTAGAGTCTATGGGAAAACCAAATTTGGACAACCAACTTTTTTGTCTAGAACCAATCAAATTTGTTAACCAAGGATCCACTGTATGGGGGCTCTTCCAAAATCGTTCAACAACTGTTATCTTCTTCTTTTCCTTCTTTCTTTCTTTTTCTGTTTCTTTTTTATATTTACTGGGCATCAAAAACACCCTCAACATCAGGACCAGAAAAAAGAGAACCCCAAAAGAGGGAGAGGAACTTTTTGTCTAGAACCAATCAAGTTTGTTAACCAAGGATCCACTGTATGGGGGCTCTTCCAAAATAGTTCAACAAATGTCATCTTCTTCCTTTCCTTATTTCTATCTTACTCTGGTTTTTCATAGATATTCATTGGGCATGGAAAACACCCACAGCATCAGGACCAGAAGAAAAAGAGAACCACAAAAGAGGGAGAGGAACTTTTTGTCTAGAACCAATCAAGTTTGTTAACCAAGGATCCACTGTATGGGGGCTCTTCCAAAATAGTTCAACAAATGTCATCTTCTTCCTTTCCTTATTTCTATCTTACTCTGGTTTTTCATAGATATTTATTGGGCATGGAAAACACCCACAACATCAGGACCAGAAGAAAAAGAGAACCCCAAAAGAGGGAGAAGATGGATAGATTCCTTGGCAAGACTCGCCCCCGCCATCAGCAGGCAGGAGGCCAGTTTCTCCCGGCGACAAGCAGAAGGGCAATTAGTCGGAAACACAATTTAAATTCCACCGGAAAACGGACACACGGGCGGTGATGGGAACCAACCGGAAAGGAATGGGACACCAAGACAGAGCGAGAGATGGAGAGAGAGAGAAAAGGAAGCTTCCGTCTTGTCTTTTTCACATCCGGACACACGTGAGAATATAAGAAGGGAAAGCCATTTATTCGGGACAAATCACCCAAATACTGTCACCTCGGGAATGCGTGCGAGGGGTAATTTTAAAGGGAAGGAACCTATCGGTCTTGGAATTTCCTCCGTCCCCTATTTCTTTTCTTTGTTTGTTTTTTTTTGCGAATAATTGCGCAAAGCGGATTCAAAATAAATTTGCCAGAGTAAATTGAAAAAACAAAATTTGATGGAGCGTCGCAAAATATTTGGAAGTTTCCACGTAAATTTCTTTCAAATCCGCTGGAGAATCACACTGATTCTCCACAAATTCATGAACGTGATGGACAAATGAAAAACATATTATTAAGAAATACCTCTAATATGAAATTGCTAAATATTCAGAAAATTTGCCTGTTCAAAAAGGCTCGACTTCTTCTTTTTTGTCCACAAGTCGGTATCTTAGAGAAAAAAAAGCTTTTCTAGCATAATACCATACAGCATGAGAAACAAAACATTGAATTTCAATTGAAGGTGTCATTTTTTAAAATAAAAAAATCAGATGAAAAGCAATGTTTTGTTTCAATGAAATTTATCAAAAATGCTGGCAGAAGCTCCATGGAGAAAACTTCAGAACAGTCTCAAGGCAAAATGTATTCACTCATTGCAAGTAGATTTTGGAGATGATGTTTCCAGAATTTTCCTTTTACCTTTTTGAGGTTTCCAGGATTTTGAAACCCATTTTTTCTTTTCTATAGAGAGCAAATCTGAATCGACTTACGTTTGTATCAAAAATCAATCTTATTTTATTTCCTTAACGAAAAATGTACACATTTCACAGCCAAGTTCATTTCTGAAAAAACTCAATAATTATAATTATGCACATGGGATAACCAAGATTTTGCAGTTGAAAATCGACCTGCAAAATATTAACATTTTTCTAAATCAGGACGTACTCTAGCAAAATTACTCGTTTTTTTTTTCTAAACCTTAAAATTGGCTGAACTTAATTTCTTCCCGTTTCATACTGCTTCAAATGAGTAGAAATGATTACCTTGCATGAGGGGAAAATCTTGTGAAATCAAACCCAAGTTTCACACACGAAAAAACCTCTTTGAAAATGTTTTTTGTAAGAACTCAAGTACGAGAAAGTTTGTTGGAACAAGGCTTCAGCCGTTTTTTCGCGCGATTTTGTTCTGCAGTTTCCTTTCAATGGATAGCATTTTAGTCTTCAAATTCACAATAAATTTTCCTATTTCATGAAGATTGCCCCGTTCAATGGTGGTGAAATTTTGAACAATAATTCAGGTAGGAAATATTACCCTCACGGATGTTGAAAAATTCCAAGAACAATTCTAGGACGAATTCATTTTTCTTTCTGCTCTTACTAAACAGGCCGCTGTACATAGCAAAGTGCTGCAGGAGAAAAATGCATGGAATTTTTATTTCTCCCCAGACAACTCACATTAATCCGCGCACGACTTGATCCGTTTGCATTATCCATTGCACGAAACCCGATCTCTTGATCAAACTAATAAAATTCCTTTTAACCCAGTATTCAAGTTCGCCTCGAAAGTACTGTACAGTATTGTAATGTTATGTACACACCCATGTCACAAAATCTGGGCAGGAAAACAGTGACAGCAGCACACCCGTTGGTAACCATGGATATTTCGCAACCCCTGAACAAGAATAAATGAAAGCAATTCTAGCGTTTTGAAACGACGATTCGCCATAATTAATGGTCGAAATAGTCAGCTTTGCAAAAGGGAAGGACACTTTGAAAATGCTGGCAAGGCTTTGCACAGCTCTCATTTGATTTTATTCTATCTGAAGAATTCCAATGCTGTTTGATATCCAAAACAAACCAACGAAAAGCTCTCCCAAGGCTGGTTTTTG